AGGATTTGTTTGGAAACTTGCTCGGTTTCTTTGCCATTGGGATTAGGAACTTGCGCCTTATGGCGTAGCCATGCTACAGGGACGCAAGCTTTGAGTCCAAATTTCCTTGGCGCGATGCAAGAGCTCTTTTCTGCTTCTTAGTGATAAAAGATGGTCGCAAATATTTGGTAGAACCCGGTAAAAGCTCATTTTCTATAAGACCTCGATGTCCACATCATCTAGAGTATTTGAAAACATGACCCGCTTTTTTGTCATTTCGAAAGTGACAATAATATCCAAAGGCCTTCACCCAAAAAACAAGTAACCCGTATTTTGACAAAACATCAAGAAGCCATGCATGGACGCATTAAGAGCGTGGAGCGCGAGAAGGAGCAGCACAAGACGGATGCCCAGCACCAGGAGGAGCTCTCCAAGGTGCGCATGTACCACGAGGTGGCAGGTAAAGTCCTAGACATGAAGCGCCAGCAGCTCTACGAGCCGAGCGTCCTGCCGCTGACCAGCCACCTATTGCTACTCAACCCCGAGTTCCACGTGGTCTCGAGCTACCGCCGCCAAGCCATTGACGCGCTAGCTCAAAAAGCCGAGAACCGAGGCCGAAATGTTGACTATGGCCAAAACGGAGCTCAGACTAACGCTGGTACATTCGATTTTCAGCGTACTTTACGTTTAAACGCGGATATTAACACTATAAAAACGTTGCAGGACGCACTGCAACCCAAGCCGTAGTCTGCGTGGTTTCAGCGCCAATGGATCATTGACCGAGGACTGAGCGACGTGCGACAAGCTGCTGAATCTCGGTAAAATCAAGTTGTTTTAACGTTTTACTTTTGGTTTTACTTTACTAAACTCTGTTTTTAACTAGACGAACGCAATTTCTACAGTTGTAACTACCGTCGACATGTGTCAAACTAGCGGCTGGCCTTCACCACGCAGAAAATCGAGCAGAATTTCTCCAACTACTCGGCTCTACATCACCGCAGCATTACTCTACCAGAACCGTTATCTGCCGACGTGTTATTTGATGAGATCTGTAACGCGCAAGCAGATAAGGCCGGTCAGCTTGCAAGGGCTCACAGCAGATACCATGCGCTAATTATTATATGAAACGCGCTACGCTCTGTAGGTGCGTCAGCATTATTGACAGCGCCATAGTCAGTTTACCGTATGTGCGGCTCCAAGCCTCGTACCGTCAGCCAGCTTACAAAATACAAAGATGGGTAGGAAAATGGGGGCCTAAAAGGGCATATATTCCAATTACTTGCTCTTCTGCTGCTTCTTTCGCTCAATGTACCTGACGTTTCGGGCGGTCAGCTTGCGAGGGCGTGTACCTGACGTTTCGGGCGGTCAGCTTGCGAGGGCGGCTGTGTCTATTTTTCTTCTTGAGGTACCAGTCAGGACCCATCGCCTTCTTGACATTCACCAGGCTTTCCTGGCGGCGCACTTCGGCCGAATCAGGTGGTGGGGGCTTTTCCTCCCAGAACTCAACCGCTATTGGGCCGTTCTCGCAGGCAATACAGTGTCGCACGCTGCCCCATCCGCTGAATGTACGGAACGCGTAGCCGTACTGCAGCTTCCCGCAGCAGACGCAGCGCGCCCGGGCATTCGTCGTAGACCGCTGCGGGTTCAGCAGAAGCGGGTCAATCTTCGCCTTGCATTGCTTGCACGTAGGGCCCACCATTTTGCAAACTGTGAGTAAGTAAGCAACATATATTATTTTAACCAATTACTTGCGTCCAAATATTAGCCAATAGCACGGTACTGTAAGGCTGGGTTGTTATTATTAGGCAAAATATTAAAATGCTTTAAAATATTACTATTTGGCTTTGCTTTAATAATATTATTATCAGATTTACAAACAAATACATACTTTACATGCGATAAAAGTGACTAAAAACACTATGTACCGTGCGCGCATGCATTCGTCGAGTGCTTTGCACGGGAGCAGATAGCGCAATGACCGTGCAGCCGCGCGCTTTCATTGCACGGTGGCAATGGTGAGTGCCAGGCGAAGTAAAAAATATATATATTCGCAAAGTCCCTACAAAAAGCGCTGGTCGTGAGCCTACTTTAATATTAAAAAAAAATACTTTCGTCATCAGAAAGGCTGTGGAAAATAGCATCGCCGAGTTCTTACAAAATACTGGTCTGTGAAGTCTACATTAATAATAATAAATATCTCTATTTACAGAGCTCTTAGAAAAAAAGGTGGTTACTGTGCCCGATTTGCAGTACATACGACAGGTTTTGCGCTGCTGAATGCAATAATCAAGTATCTGCTGGCTGTTTGCAACCAATCGATGCGTTTCGTGCTCGGCAGAAATGTTTACCTTACGTCCAATCGCGAGGGCGAGAGGCGGTCTGATCGTGCGACAGATCCAGTCAGTGGCACAGGTCGGCAGGTATTGCCCAATCAGGGCGCGAGTTAATTGCGTCACGCTTTTGGATATATTTGTAATTTTGGCATAGTTAAGTCGAGTCAGAAAAGTAGGCGCGGTCGGTACGATGGGACGAAAATATATTAGACAGGCCGGGTGTAGCCATGCGAAAAGGCAGGAAAAAGCAGCAAGAAAGGAACCGGACGGACATAGTGACAGACGGACGGACAGGCTGCAAGTTTAGGTGGCGGGAAATTT